CTGATGTTGGGAATGAAACCTAGCCACTATGGACATCAGCATTAAGGTTCTTCAGAAAACTGAAAATAGATCTGTCATATGACTGATCTCTACCATGATGAAATACTCTGAATCAACGTATCTCAGAGGTACCAAAATGCCAATTGATGTTGACTGCAGCGCTGTTCACAATAGTTAAAGAGTCAACCTAGTAGACTGTCAGCAGAGGAATGGATTTTTAAAAACTGTGTAAAGATACATAAGCCAATGTTGCTCAGTTACAAAGGCCATAAGAAAGAATGAAATTCTGTCATTTTCAGGAAAATGGGTACAAGTGGAGATCATTATATAAAGCAAATTAAATCAGACTCAGAAAGTAATATACTGTTCATTCACAGACTCTAGAATTTATGTAAATATATAAAATCATGTATGTATATATCACATAAAAAGAAAAGTCAAAATCTCTAGGGTTAGCAAATGGAGCTGATGAGACTGGAGAGGAAGTTGAATCTGGTAGTGGGGGGAGGGAATATGGTCAAGATATATCATATACTTATATAAAATGTCCATATAAAACAATACAAATGCTATGTAAACTGAATATACATCAACAAGGAAGAAAACAAAAGAATCAAAGTGGAAATAAATGTTTTCCCAAATCTTTGTAAAGTTTCAAGCAACAGTAAAATTATTACCTAAATTCTCAGAAAACACAGAAAGAAATTAATGTTATGATTAGAATATTTTCTTCTTTAGACACTTGATAATTTTGAATGATATACCAATCCAAATGCATGTATTATCCCAAATTTACTTTCAGGAATCTCTTCTACTGAATTATATTTTGAGATATGTTGAGGGGGACACTGTGCCTGCAGTTGGAGGTCACAGGTCAACCTCAAGCATTAGTCCTCAGAATCTCTTCCTCTTCATCGAGCCAGGGTCTTTCACTGGGGCCTCAGGTTTCTGATTAGACTATGCTTGCTGGCCAGTGAGGCCCAGGGATGGATCTGCCTCCTCCTCATCACTGAAACTACAAGTGCTTGCCACCATTTCTAGATATTTTTTTATGAGTTCTTGAGATTGACCTTAGGCCATCAAGCTTGCAAGAAACACTTTACAGGCAAAGCTTTCCTTCCTGTCCCTAATTCTCTTTGACTGTTTCTGAGAATGGATGTTCACTATGGGCCTACCTTGCTCTTCTGCACAGCTTGCCTTTATAGATTTTATAACATAGCCAAATTAGGAACGGATGCAGGTTGAAAAGTTTGGCCACCAATGTTAACAATTTAATAGGCCCATGTTGGATATTCTTATGTGGTCTTAAGGACATGATGACACAGAAGACTGGCGAGTGTGAAAATATTTGCTGTGTGACAATGGGAAGTAGTGTAAAACAGTCCTATCAAATGTGAGCAAAAGAAAGGTTTCAAGGAGACTCTACAGTGGTTTTGAATCAATATTAATACCTCGAAATGACAGCAGGAACAGAGCTAGATGCTCTCTTGTAAAACAATTAAGGTTGACAGGGCTCAGCTTAAACAATGTTGCACCGGCCATAAAGCTAAGACACAGATCTGCAAACAATGACAGGTTTCTTGTACAGTAACTCCCATCATTGCCGACTGAGTGGTCTCGAGAATTAATTGGTGACCTAGGAATCACTAATTGGACATTAATCATTCAATCAGTCATGTTTGCTTATGAAATGACTCTAATAAATACCTCTCTCTCTCTCTCTCATACACACACACACACACACACACACACACACAGGTACACAGGCATACAGTCAAGCTCTGATGTTTTACTCTAGAAGATGATGCTTCTTAAGGAGGTCTTGATTTTCCAGAAGACAAAGTTCCACAATTAGACAGATGGTTTTAAATGTCAAGGAATCTAGTAAAGCAATACCCTCCTTTAAATTGACAGTGAGGGATGAACAAGTCCAACTGAACCACTTGCTGAGAACAAATTTAATTGGCAGGGGTCAGGGAATTTTACTGTGATAGAAAGTTCCTTAAGAATGATTTTTTTTAAAAAAAAAGGTACTCTGAAGAGGAGAAAAAGTACCTAAAGTAGACAAGGTGATGTCAGTGTCAATCTTCTCCCTCACATTCTTGCCTGGGGCTGGTTCTGCCCAGACTAAAAAGATAATGACATCTGTGTGGCATATTCAGAGCACTACAGCATTTTATTTTACACCTTGGTAGAAATATTTTTGAGTCTTCCTTGTTAAGAAGAGAAAATGGAAGAACCAAATTATGTGCTTGTTGTTCCAAAATATATATTTCTCCCACCCATTCTGTGTACAATGAATTCTAACTAACTGACAATAACTGAACTCTATTCTGAATTTTTATTAATACCAAAATTTGAAAAATTATTTCTGTTTCAGACTGAGTAACTAGAGCTTCAATAACACCTAAATAGCCTTTGCTGTTGATAACAGATATATCTAAGTTTTAATAAATATGTTCATGGATTGAAAATAATAACTTTCACTATCCCTGTTTTGAAAAGATATGTGCTGGGTTTATATGTGTATTTAAACTTTTTTTCACTGTGAAATGTTTTAAGCCAGTTCCCTGTACTGTGAGCATCTTCTGTGTTTCTAGAATGCAAACACATTGAAATAAAACATCTGAATCTGGAAAGAAATCAATATCTCAAAACTAGCTCCATTTCTAAGCATTATCTCTGAATTTGTAAGGACATTTGTTAATATTTTTTTTTCCACAGAATGAATGAATCAGCTGTGAAGGTCTTTCCACACTCAACTATGGAAAACTGTGACAACTCCAGTTTAGAATGCTTTGTTAATTCAAAATTTCTTTAATCTCATCAAAGCTAAGAATCTCAGTTTTCTTTACATATACTGTTTTTAATAAATATTTCAACAGAGAACAGAAGTTGAAACAAGTCAGTGGGTACAGATTTGTTTCTCAGGATTTTGTCTTTGATGATCCAGTTTTTTGGAGTCACTTACTTCCAATCTCTGTAAAATTGTTCAAAAACTCTTGCTGTAATCATAACCAAATACACGTGACTGAAGAGGTCATAGAGAAAAACCTCAAGGCTGTCACATACCTAGACAAATATAATTTCTTACTATGTAGGAAATATGGATCCAATATTCACAGTCAAGTATCTCACTCATCACTCATCAAAGAAGCTCTTTTACAACAGATATTGTATTACAGAGTTCCACAACTGGTCACTCACAGAGATTGTCTATGAATTGTCAAACCCTAAATGATACATCTACAATGCAACTTCTACACCTATGGCTCAGAGAACATAGTGGAACAAGGGGACAAGGGGTAGAGAATATTAATGCATCTCTCAACTCTCATCAATGAAGCTCCCTTGTGCAACAGAGGGCCATGAACACAAAAGGACACGAATGGCCAAAGCATACAGAATAAGACTCTGAAGAGTGTGGGTCCTTGGTCAGAATTCTTATATTAAACTCCACCCACCCAGGGCTCAAGGACCATTGCAGAAGAAGGGGCAGAAAGATTATAAGCACCAGCGAGGAGGTGCATGACCAAATGGAAATAGAGTCCTACAGAATCCTGGGACCCAGGAAAACTCAAGCAGACAAAAACCAAGCACAGAACTGTTGAAATGGGCAAGAAGGTCCCAATCTTATTTAATGAGCAGCTAATTACTGTTTGGTGAGGAAGAGCTGATCTTCTTTAAGGGAACAACTCTAGATAGGCTGACTAGACCTCAGTGGATATACTTGCACTGAGAGATGTCTGGGGACACTAACTTGGCTTAACAAAATGACATAATATATGAAATCAAGTGGGGGGTTATGGGAGGTTGGGGGGGGGCATGACTAACATTTTCCATATGAAATACACAAAAATTCAATGAAAAGTTCCAAAAATGAAAAAAGTGCTTTTCATATAGTATGTACTCAATAAATGTAGAGTGAATAAATAATGTGAACATCAAAAAAAAAAAAAAAAAACCTTGCTGTAAAGCTGTCAGTTGCCATGTTATGTAATGTTGTTGGTGTTCTGAGATGTGCCAAGGGAAGATGAACACAGGATTTTTTTTCATCCAGCTGGCCATGGTGGCTGTTCATATTATTCACATGAGTTGATTTAAGAAATTCTCACATACATCTCTCACAGCATATATGAAATCATGCTTACTAGGTGAGCAGATTTGTTGGACTTAGAGTATATGAACACTCACCATGGGAAGGAGATTGCATAGTCTCTTCTAAAACTTATCAAACCACTACAAATGATATCTGCTATTACTTTCTTTTGGACACCTTTTTAAACCCAGTATTCTCATTTCTGGTTGGTATTGCTGAAATACTGTAACATTGTTGACAGGACAATATTTTTAATGATGGTTTATTCATGGACGTCAAACTTTTTGCTTGTTTATTTGGCCAAACTGAAGATCTTCACAAGTTAGCTATTTTCAGAGACTTGGCAGATATCGTAACTTCAGAAACTAATTCTTGTTCTCAATAATCTACCAATTAGCCAATGAACTACGCAGAAGTCTCCACCAGGAAAGTGCTTGCTGCACAAGCATGAGGACTTGAGTTCAGATCCCCAGCACCCACATTAAAAAGAAAGTCTAGCACAGTGGCTCCTAGCTGGGGAAGCAGAGTCAGGAGGAGTCCCATGAGTTTACTCACCAATTAGCTATCCTGGATTGATGTGCTCCAGATTGATTGGGAGTTGCTGCCTCAAAAACTAAAGTGAAAACTGATAGATGAAGAAGACACCTTATAATGACATCTGTCCTCCAAGCACATGAGTAATAACATGCCCATGCACGTGCACACAGATATATACACAAACAAGTACATACACATATCCACTCAACAAAGTCCATCAATTAGTCAAATCAAACATTTTGTATAAGAAAGTTTCACTTTAATTTTCACTTCAAATGCACGTTAATATATATTTTTGAAATATCAAGAAAAAGCAATTCCAGAATACAATTTTTTAAAACTTATCAAGAACATTTAAATCAACCTTCCTTTTCTTAGCAGGGACTTGGCATGTGGTCCCATTCCCCATTATGTATGGAGGCAGAGGGAAAAGGCTGTGGTCCTCCTGGTCATGTCTTCGGTGCTGATACCATTCTACCATTCTATCCTGAAATGTCGGGACACCAGGCTAAAAAAGCAAATAAACAAAAGAATATTTAAATAAAATTAAAATGATCTAAATTTAATATAGATAAAATGGGTGAATTTTATTGTATCTTGTTATGTTTCTGATAATTTGAGGCAATAAAAAAAAACAAATAAAGATTATTTAAGAATCAAAGTAAATGAATATTATAATTTTTCAGAAAATATGTTCATGCATGTGTTCAACTCTGACATTTAGCTTCTGGGAAAACTAGATAAGAATAACCTCATTATTTTAATGAGACACCACACTCAACATTTTTCTGTGTGTGTACTGGAAGAAAAAAGATATACTCCCAAAAACAATCAGTCCAAAAACTATCATTAAAATTTAATTTGTTAATAGGAAGTAGAGTGTATTTTAACCTGTAGTAATTAAAATGAAGTAAGATAGAGATTTCCCACAATTAAGACATTTTAAAGACAGCTTTTGACAATATATGCCTTGAATTCAATTTTGAATAAGGCATATCACATTTACAATACATTGTTTTCATCTGCAAGATTTGTTCATCATAATTTGAAAAATGTAAACTGAATGCCATTCAGGTTATAAATAGATGTTAAAGCAAGCAGTCTTTTTATGTCTCATACTTGTGTTTCTTTTCTTCCCTACTGTTAAGTTTTATGGATAGAGTTTGAAAATCATTTTTAAAAATTGGTTACATTAACTATGTAAATAAAAGGCCTTTTAAGGAGTTCATTATTTCTACTAAAGCTTATTGTTTAAAGCAATGGATTCTTAGAAACAGGTAGGGGTTTGGCAGAGATAAAGCCATTACAGAAGATGGTAATAAAGTCTATCAGCATTTATCTACCATACAATTAATTTGAGATCATTTCACAGTGAAGAAAAGTACCACCAAAACTAAAACAAGAGGAGATTAACAGCTTAAACAGACCCATGACACTTTCAGGAAATTGAAACAGTAATACAAAACCTCCTGACTAAAAAAGCCCAGGACCAGATGAATTTACAGCAGAATTCTATCAGACATTTAAAGAAGATCTACATCCAATACTACTTAATTTATTCACAAAGATAGAAACAGAGGGAGAACTTCCAACTTCCTTCTATGAAGCCAGCATCACTCTAATACCAAAGTCATCTAAAGATACACCCAAAAAAGAAAACTATAGACCCATGTCCTTAATGAACATAGGTGCAAAAATTCTTAATATTTGCAAACTGCATACAGACACATATCAAAAAGATCATTCACCATGATCAAGTCAGCTTTCTCCAAAGATGCAGGGATGGTTCAATATACATAAGTCAATAAATGTCATAAATCATATAAATGGACTCAAAGACAAGAACCACATGGCCATCTCAATAAATGCAGAGGAGACATTTGACAAAATTCAACATGCATTTATGTTCAAAGTCCTAGAGGGAACTGGACTGGAGGGAACATACCTCAACACAATTAAAGCCATATACTACAAACCCACAGCCAACATCATTCTAAATGGAGAAAAACTGAAAGCAGTCCCATTAAAATCAGGAACCAGACAAGGCTGTGGACTATCGCCACTCATTTTTAAAATAGTGCTTGAAACTTTTTCAAAAGCAATGAAACAATTGAAGGACATTAAAGGAGTAATAATTGGAAAGAAGAGATCAAACTATCCCTTTTTACAGACGATATGATAGTATATCTGAGATGACAAAAATTCCACCAGAAATCTCCTAGAAATTATCAACACATTCAGTAAAGTGGAAGATTACAAAATTAATCTATAAGTCTGTAACTGTTCTATACACCAATAACAAGCAATCACAGAAAGAGTACATGGAAACACTCCTTTTCACAAAAAAAGGTGCAAAAAAAAGAAAATAATCTGAGAATAAACCTGACCAAAGATATTAAAGACCTCTATAATGATAATTTTAAAACTTTAAAAAGAGATTGAGGTGCTGGGGGGATTACTATACCACGTTTTAAACTGTATTACAGAGCTATAGTCATAAAAACAATACGGTACCTGAATAAAAATAGACCCATAGATAAATGGAACAAAATTAAAGACTCAAATATGAATACATGCAATTTCATCCACCTAATATTTGACAAAGAGGCCAAGATCATTCACTGGAGGAAAGAAAGCATATTTAGCAAATGGTGTTGGCAAAACTGGCTCTCCGCCTGTAGAAGAATGAAACTAGACCCCTATCTTTCACCTTTCACAAAAGTCAACTCCAAATGGATCAAAGACCTCAATGTGAGCCTAAAATTCTGACAACATTGGCAATAACCTACAAGATATAGGTGTAGGAAAGGATTTTCTAAACCAGACCTCAATTGATCATGAAACAGGGTCAACAATCAACAAATAGGAACTCATTAAACTAAAAAGCTTCTGTACATCAAAAGAAGCAACCAAGGAAGTGAAGAGTAAATGCACAGAATGGGAGAAAATCTTCATCAGAAACACTTCTGACAGAGGTTTAAAATCCAGAATAAATAACGAACTCAAAAAACAAAGAATCAAGAAAGGAGGTAACCCAATTAAAACTTGGCTTAAGAGCTGAACAGAAAGTTCTCAAAAGAAGAAATAAAGATGGCTAAGAAGCATCTTAAAAGAGGTTCAGAATCACTAACAATGAGGGATTTGCAAATTAAAGCCAGTTTAAGATTCCATCTTACCCCAGTCAGACTGGTTAAGATCAGGAGAGAACAAATGATACCAAATGTTGGAGAGGATGTATGGGAAAGGGGAAAGCTCATCCACTGCTGGTGGGATTACAAACTTGTTCAACTTCTATGGAAAGCAGTGTGGAGACCTCTGTAAAAACAACAAATGAACCTACCATTTGACCCAGTTATACCACTCCTTGGCATATACCCAAAGAACTCATCCTATTGCAGAGACACTTGGACATCCATGTTTCTTGATAGCTAAGAGATGGAAACAACTTACGTGTCTCTCAATTGACAAGTGGATAATGAAAATGTGGTTCATTTATGCAATGGAGGTTTACTCAGAAATAAAGAAAGATGAAATCATGAAATTTGCAGGTAAATGGATGGAACTAGAAACTGTTATACTAAGTGAAGTAACACAGGCTCAGAAAAAAATTTGATATATGTTCCTCCTCATATGTGGAACTAGAACAAGACCCTGATAAATGAGTATGTAACTAGACATAACTACAGGAACCAGGATAATGGAAAGGAACCAGGGAGGTAAAGGAAAAGAAAAAATCTGAAAAAGGAGAACAATAGGAAACAGGCCTTATTAAGGGAGATAGGGATAAAAATGGGGTTATTTTAAGGGGGGAGAGGCTATACAAGGAAATGTGGGGATAAAGGGAAAGAAGGAACTCAAGAGAGGTGGGATCATAGAAGAAGGGTATTAATAAGGGAAAAAGGAGGGAAATGGGGACACCGTAAGTGGGAAAACCATGATGGAGGGGTGAGACAATGCAAGAGATAAACAATGCTTAGCTAGTTTTGAAAATGAGAGGGAACCACATTACTCCTACAACCTACTGACAAATTATACAAAGCAGAACAAGAAATATATGTCTAGGTAAGGTTTATCTGACAACAACTGGTCTTTGCCCAATATTTATCTACATGACACACAGTAATTAAAAGTACCAGACTGATGGAACTAGCCTTCTTGGGTGTTTAACAGACATACTTTGAGGCCTATAATAATTTGATCAGAGAGATGTAAAGGACAATTTTTGCTCCTTGCCCTCCCAGGTTGCCCAAGTCCCAGGAGACTATGAACATCTCTCAAAATATCCTGTAACTGTAATAAGTCACCCATCCTCTTGATCATGGAGGCCATGGAGACCCCATCAAATGGACTTGAACCAGTGTCCAGTCTACAAAGAGGAGGATCAACACAGATGAAACATTTCCTCCATGCTTCCAAATGAAGCCATCCATGGTTGAGCAGGACTTTTGACTTATCTTCACGTAGATCGAACTGTAGAGGTCAGGAGACAGGGGCACCTCTCAAGCCCATGTGACCCCTGAGGAACAGATCCTCAAACAGCCTTTGGGGTAAAAATAAATTGGTTTATCTGGGCAAACTCTACAGTCTTAAACACCCAAAAGGAAAGTATTACCAAAGATTAAAGGGGTCAATATTAATCTTTAAGAGTCCATGTGTATAGGTAAATGCTACATAACAATGCCAGACAGGAGATACCTTCTTTTGAATTGTTGGCTAGGGCTGTCCAAGAGTTTCCCAGAAGTAACCTAGCACAGAATTGGGAAAATGAACAGTAGACCCCAATCTTATTTAAAGGAATATTGGCAACTAATTGCTGCTACATGAGGAACAGCTGATCTTCCTAAAACAAGGAACTCGAGACGCTGACTAGATTCAGTGGATGGACAACCACAGGGGAAAGGCAAGGGGCACTGAAAACACAGTGGACAGTAGCATAATGACAGAGGATTTGGGCTCAAGTGCAGAAGGGGAGGCTATGGAAGTGAGCCATTTGGAATTTGGGTATATAGATGAATAAGATTGTTTGGAATAGTATGTATGAAATACACATGCAAAAAAAAATCAACAAATTTTAAAAATGAGTTATATTTGAGGAAGAAACATAAAAATTTCCTTCATGTTAATTAGTAGAGATGAAAACATTACCATTGAAATCTATCTGATTACTTTATATCCATACTCAGGTGCCAAGGATCTGAGTGTAAATGACTGTGACTAGTAATAATCAGATACATTGAGATTAGAGACAGGTGGAAACATCTAAGTGTTAGCATTAAAAATGAGTTTTCTATACGAAACAATATATTTTAAAATGAAATGGAGATCTTTTTTAAAGGTATAAACCTCATTCAATTTTATTTCTTACAGAGTTTAAACTGAGTTCAATATTGTATTACTGTATTAATAATAATAATAATAATAAATTTAAAAAATAATAAAAAAATAATAAATAAAAAGTACTTTTTATTCCTTTATTCTTTCTAAAAACAAATACGTGCACAATAAG